GTTAGACTCTACCTGTCTATAATATTCTCCATCATAGCATTGTTGTGAGGATGAGCAGAGCTGCTGCATATCAACTGGTAAGCACAGTGCCAAGAACATTTCAAATTACAAGTAAATCTTACTCCACACAACAGTGTTTTTCTTCAAAGTAAAATGCAACAGGAGGGCAGTAATTGACAGCAGAGGTATCACAAGGAACCACAAATTGGCTCTTAGCTTCAATGGAACTCAAGCTGTAGCAGGTGTTATTTCACAATTTTAATTAAAATCAGTTATCAGAGGTGAGATGTAAATTTTCATAATTTTAACTATAAGCAGTTAAATTTCTGTGCTTTTTTCACCAATTTACCTAAAGCAAGCCATTTTCATTTGTAAAACTCTAAAAATCAATAAATACAAGATGCAATGACTGAATACTATGGTTGGTTTTGTCTTTTGTTTAGTGGATACTGCTTATCAGTGAAGATGAGAATACTTGGATATTGTGCTTGCAGAGCTCATAATCTAGGTTCCATGGTTACTGAACACTGAGGATTACTAGTGTTTAATGTAGATATGAATTTGGGTATGATGTGTTTGGAACACGTGCAGAGTAATCATGTCAGTCAAAATTCACTAAAAGCTTATGGTTTAGCAAAATTGTACCTTTGAGAACACAAAACATGACAGTTCTGAAGAACCTGAAAAAAATTAGAAGAAGAGTAACTTTCTAAGGGAATCTGAAGCACATGCCATTCACAATTATCGGTAACAAGTGATTTTTATAGATTTTGGTGGACGTGGCATGAGTTTGTTGGGTTCCTTTTTTTTAATTATTCACTAGTTCTAATCAGTTTTACATGAGAGTAGAAAATGCTTCAATTCATTGTACACAAATGGAGCAGGTGTTGGGTTCTTTTAGAGAAACAACCTTAAAGGATAGTATCATTGCAAGGGAAAAAGATAGTGGATGGTTTTCAAATGGATGTCCTTGCTAAGCTGTAAAATGTCTTGAATATTGTGGCAGAGCTATGGATGAATAATTTATGATGAATAATTAAGGTTGTATCTTCTATAAGATATAGTAATTTCCATTCTTGGTCCAGTTAGCTGAGCTCAGTAATGAAGAATATGCTCTTAGAGTGTTATATTTAATTTCCTGTTTGTTATTGGTATTTAAAAAAAAATCATTTGGGGTCTGTCTTCACATCCTTTTATATTTCTTTTTTCTTTTTTTTTCTTTTCTTTCTTTTTTTTTTTTTAAAAGAGAGAGAGAATTTTAATACTTATTTTTTAGTTTTCAGCGGACACAACATCTTTGTATGTGGTGCTGAGGATCGAACCCAGGCCTCACACATGCCAGGCGAGCATGCTATCGCTTGAGCCACATCCCCAGCCCACATCCTTTTATATTTCTAAGCCAGAATGACCTCTTAGAGCTGGTAGACTCTATACTTGCTGTGTGTGGAATAATTTTTAATCTTTTTTTCTGAGTTCACTTAAGATATGAGAGATACTTGTCATTTTGGAATTCTAAGCTGTTAGGATACAGTTCTTTAGTCATGTTATTGTTGAAATTTAACATTTTAACCTTTAATTAGAAGAATCACTTTTCTAGGCTGTGGCATGTTTCCATTGCTATTCTTTCATCATGTGATTTAAGTGTTGCTAAACTTGGGCTGGGGATGTGGCTCAAGTGGTAGTGTGGTCTCCTGGCATGTGTGTGGCCCAGGTTCGATCCTCAGCACCACATACAAACAAAGATGTTGTGTCCGATGAAAACTAAAAAATAAATATTGAAAAAAAAAAGTGTTTCTAAACTTTACAAATTATTCCAAAAGAAGACATGGAATAACTTTGTAATTTGGTCCTGTCTATTCTGCATGATATCCAGCACTTTCAACAGTGCCATACAGAGAGCACATGCGCAGTAAATATTTATTTGAATTAGAGAATTGCTTTAGGGCAGCTTGCAAAAGTAATGTTTTCAGTATCCAGTGACTGAGCCTTCAGTACTGGTAGTTTAGCTAAACATTCAGACTTCATTTGAAGCCAGTAAACAGACAACTGAGCAATCCAGGGAGACAAATTTCTTCACTTTTCTATCCAATAGTAATTTTCTTTTACAGTCATGTTTATATAGAGTAAAGGTCAAAGGAAAAGGTGTATTTGGAGCAGTTACATGAGTAAGTTTGCTACAGTGAAAGATTTTCGGTATGCTGATGGAAAAGGGACAATTTAAAATAGATGTTATAAAATTCAGATAGCTCTTTTTAAAGACAGTTTTATTGAGGTCTAATTGGCATCCAATAGACTTCATGTTTAAAGTGTATGATTTTGTCAGTTCTGACACATGTACACACCCAGGAAACCATCATCACAATAAGGAGAATGAGCAAATCCATTACCACCCCAAATTTCTTTGTACTTCTATCCTCATGGTTCTCTGTCCCTTTTTACAAGCAGCCACTGACCTCCTTCTCTACTGTCACAGTAGGTTAGTTTGCTTATTCTAGGGTTTTATGTAAATGGAATTCTATCACATGAACTTTTATTTTTTGGCTTCTTTCACTCAGTGTAATTATTTTGAAATTTATCTCTTTCTGATGATATCAATAGTTTATTCCTTTTGTGTGCCAATGAGCAAGGAGAGCTGGCAAGAGAAGCACCTCAGCACTGCCCTCTCCCCCGCATCCTCCGTGGGCCTCACTGTAGCCTGAACAGTTGGCTAATACTTGAGAGTAACAGGAGGCAGGAATGCACTAGGCAGCTCTTTGGTCAGTCATTTTCCTTAGAATGCTGCTGCTCTTTTTTATTTTCATTTTTTTGCATTCAAAGCAAGCTGTGGTTAGGTGCTGAGCAACTTGTTGAGGCAGCTTGTCTTCCCGGCCTCCTCATGATGCACCTACGGTACTCACTATGCATCCTGCTGACTGACAAGGCATTCTGCTAGCCCCAGCCTCATGTGCTCCTGGTGTGTTGCAGGCTCTGCAGGTGACTGGGAAGGTGAGGAAGGATGGCCATGCCTGATGCAGGCATTCTGTGCTTGTGGACTGCGTTTGTTCCACTAGGCTGCACTTTCAGAGCACAGGTTCAAGGATGAAATTGTTGAGGATTTCAAGATGGTGAGCACAGCACAGCAGAAACAACTGGGAGGCCCTTCTGGGCATGGGGCCTTTGGTACTTGTGAGGCTGGCACTGTCTGCCCAGAGTCAGAAGAAGGAATGCTGTTGGTATTTCATGAAAATATGGCCTTGGACATAGTTCACTTGGATTGGAGGAAGGCTCTGTTTGGGAACTCAGTGGTCAAAGACCTGCTGAGAGGATCACAAGCCCAGTGCTCTTGCCTGAATTTACCTGGGAAAGATGAAGGGGGCATCTTTGAGGTTCTATGTATTGTGGATAAAGAAGTGTGACTATCAATCTGGATTTGGTCCTTAAAGAGTGCTACTTGTGGGAAGAGGGGCCTGACCTCTTGGACTCGTGTCTCCATTTCTTTCTGGAGAGCACAAATCTGACTTCACAGCTGCTGCTGAGATCAGGCAGTGGGGGGGCGGGGCAGAGCTGGTGCTTCATGGTCCTGTGCTCAGGTCATTAAGCAGTCAGGTAAAGTCACCGGTGGCATCCTGGCTGACTACATGCTTGAGACCCAGGGCCTCAATGCTGAGGAGCCTTGGACCAACTCCATGTGGCGAAATTGCACTCAACTTCACATGAGGATCTGTGTCTCACTGGCACACCTAGGCAGTCATATCCAGCTTTGAACATCTGAACACACAAGGTAATTTTCATGGAAAAACTGCCCTGCCAGTTTCAACTGCATCATCCTGGCTGATGGATCCTCTTCTCATTTTAAGTTTGAGGAGATTGAGGCATGGACACTAAAACAAAATGCAGAGGCCATGTGAAAAGACAGCTGTGATTTGAACCATGAATGCTATGCAGCCCACTCTCTTTCTCCTGTGTTACCCTGTCACCATGTCCCTTTTTGGTTTTGGGAAAGCCTACTTATTGCAGAGTGTATAAGAGGATGGAGTGACATATGGCAGTCTCACAAAGCATTTTAATGTGATGTCTCTTTCTGCAGAATTGGGTGGTGGGGGGCAAAGCTACCTTCCTAATAGCCAGGGAAAGGATGCACTTCATGCTCACTTGGCAGGGGCCTCTGCCCACTGGAGGCCAAAGAGAAATCAAGGACAGAAACTTAAAAGACAAAGTGATCTTTTCCATGACCCATTCAGGGGATTTTCCAGGCAGCACTTTTGAGGAGCACTTCTGTTTTGTACACGAGTCTAATTCTGTGTTTGGTCCACAGACGTCTGATGTCCCATTATTCTTTATCATGACCATCTCTTTGACTCACTACTGGTTTTCTCCTCCAAGACAGCTACCTGTGGGGCAATAATAACTTATCCCCATGAGAAAATGTGAGACACCAAAAAGACCAAAGCAAAAAACTAGTTAAGAAACTACAAATAATAAGTAAAATCGATGGCCCTTGTTAGCTTTAACAAACTGATGGATTTCTTTCCCCATGAAACAATGAAAGTTCACGTGGATTACCCAGTAAGTTTTGAAATAGAGATGACAGTCATTATTCCAGGATATCAGGTTAAAAACATTCTTAGGAAACATGCAACCTTGTTAATTATGTTATGTTTTTCTTCAAACTGGAGTGAATAACAGTGAAGTTTACTGCCTGACACTAAATTTGTTACTGCTCTGCTCTTCACAATCTCACATTTGTATTTTACCCATAATGTGCATTTATCTTCCTCAGGCTGATTGATTTTCATGTGAGAAAGATACTTGCCTCAGTGGGCACAGCAGGTCACTCTCAGGCTTTATCATGATGTGCTCACCAGGCCCTCATGTGCTCACACATGAACTTCACACCCATCTTTGCTGGATGAACAAAACCACATCATCACTAGATTCTTAGCCATGAAAATTTCTTGTGCCACCTTTGCTTATGAGCTTGATGGAAGAGGCTGACTCTATGAATTGTTGTCTCTCCTCAGAGTTTCTGGTGATGCTGATGATGGCAATGATCATGATGACAATGATGGTGATGGTGATGATGGTGATGATGATGATGGCAGTGGCAATAATGATGACAATGATTATGATGGTGATGACAGCAATGGTTATGCCAATGATAGTGACATAATGTTGATGGGAATGATGTCATGAAGAGGATGATGACCATGTGATGATGATAAATGTTAGCAGCTGACATGAATTAAATTATTTTATCTTTCCCATTGGGCAGAGTCCAGCCTAGATTCTGTTGCCCTCAGACTTGGTCATGTGATCTGTTTCACCAGTGAGAGGAGAGTTGACAGTGGATTCTTTGGGCGGCATGATGGGATTCCACTTACACATCAGTTTCTGTTGGAAACATGGCCTCACATCTCAGCTCTTCAGAAACAAGTTTAGGTAGAGAAAGGGTCTGTGAAATTGGGTGGTGTGTGCTGAGTTCCTGTGGCAGATGTTGATTCAGGATTTTCTGAACATTTATTGAGCATCTCTGTTCTAGGCATTGGGGATAGAATGTAATTGGAGCTTATAATTTTGAGAGGGGAGAGAGAAAAAAGTAAATATAGAGTAGATCAGGAAAGGTAAAGGGCAATGGGCACAATGTGGGGGGCACAGAGATTGTCTGTTGGAGACAGGGATGAGAGGAGGGAACCTCCAAACTGTTGAAAAGCTCATGTCCAAGCAAAATCCAGAGTGAATGAGTGGGTAGTCCATGTGATAAATGGGGATGGGAAAGTTCTAGAGGGAGAAGTTTATGGCAAGGGCCCTGGGGATAACATAGAAAGCTGACCAAGGGGGATAGTCATGGATGAGGAGGCCAGGAACTCCAGGCAGGGGCTCCATGGGATTTCCAGGGCCAGAGACCCTGCCACCCTGGACAGCACTTCCATATTCAAGAGCCCAAGAAGATGATCAAAATGTCAATCCTCAGGGAGCCCATCAAATTCAGCTAATCCCATTCCACTGTGCATACATAAGATGCCCCTAGTACCTCAGATTGCTATGTCCCAGCCTGTGGGTGCAGCCCCGTGTGTCCCTGCTGGGCACATTTTCTCCCTTGAGGCTCTAACTCACATGTCCCAAATGTCCCTGTGGTTTGTCATGTCCTATCATCCAAGGACCCTGGAATCTTGCAAAATAACTGCCAGCATTCCAGCAGGCCTTTGTCACCCTGCTTAGCAGGCCTCTTCCTTGTTCTGATTTTCAATTTTTCCTGTTCTTGAGTGGCATCAGATAACTCCGTGGTTGCTCCAAGTGTTTGCTCCTAAATTACATCTTCACTACAGACAGAATACCATTAGTTCAAAAGCTCATGAATGCCAAATCCAAACTTATTTACCCCTAATTATTTTAAAAATGTAGATGAAAGTAGAAAAATTCTCACCATTCATATCCCACCTGCTTTGGGCACCTAGCATCTAATGTCCAATTAAAAGAGAGTGTGGTTAAGAGACCCCAAGGTGATACCACCCTTCAGATTTCTATAACCGCTGCCATACTACTAGTTATATCACCTGGGCAAATAATTTTCAGAGACACTTTCTCTGACTCTTTTTCCCCATTAGTTCACTTGAAATTCTCATCTTTTGGATGATGGCTCTTTGTCATAATTCCCTGGACAGTTTTGGGCTGTGAGGGGTGTTATTTTTTTCTTTTCTTTTCTCCTTTCTTTCTTTCTTTCTTTCTTTCTTTCTTTCTTTCTTTCTTTCTTTCTTTCTTTCTTTCTTTCTTCTTTCTTTCTTTAACTAGGAATTGAACTTAAGGGCATACTTAACCTTTAAGCCGCATCCCCAGCTTTTGTTGCTGTTGTTGTTTGTTTTAATATGGTCCCTCTAGGTTGCTTACAACTTCACTAAGTTGCTGAGTCTGGTTTCAAATATGTGATCCTCCTGCCTTATTCACCCAAGCTGCTAGAATTACAGGCTTGAACCACCACACACAGTGAAACATAGTTGTTTTTTTTTTTTTTTTTTTTAATGAGACCCTCTCCCATAATTGTATTTTTATGCTGTATAAGCATCCAAAACTGCCAAATTTCTTACAATTGTCAATTTCAACTCCATCACTACAGAAGCAATCACTCTTTTAATAGTCTGTGCTAGAATTTTATATAAAACACAAGAGTTTATGTATTTTTATTTAAATAAACTTTAGTTATCTTGATTTATTATTAATTCATAGTACATCTAACAGCAAGACATTGAAGGACTTTACTAAATACTATTGAGTGTATAGGTAAATTGGCCAGAGTGTATTTAATTTTCTATTTGTAGACTCCAAACTACAAATATTAGGTATTATGAATAAAATGTTACTAAATGCTACTTTTGTGATGTATGTCTTCATTTCTTTTGAGTGGAGGTTTTGGGACTCACATTTGGTGTCTATGTTCAATTTCAGAAACAAAAATGGAAAATGCAAGTTTGTTTTTGAAAATGTTGGGTCCATTATATATACTCAGAAATATCACAGAGGATTTCCAGTTGCTCTGCAATCTTGCCCACATGAGGGGCTATTAGTCTTTTGTATTTTAACAAATCTAATAAATATGTAACAATATGTCATCCAGATTTTAATTTGCATTTATCTGAAGACTGGTTTCTTTTTTGTTCTTACTGATATTTTGTACATCTTCTTTTATGAACAATTTTCTAATCTTTTGTGCACCTCTAGGAAAAGGGTTATGCCTATTTATCATTGAGTTTTAAAAATGTTTTCATATATCATTTACCAGAACTTTGCAAAATATTTGTTTTGTAACATATTGTCTGTAGGTGAGTCAAACAAAGTATGACTGTGAGCTATATATTTCCACTTCAAAATTCAATTTGTATCTTACTTTTTTGATAATTTTATTGTTTTACCATACAAAACTTCACTTATTTTAGGAAAACAAAAGCAATCACATGAACAAACAGCTGTAGTCTTATAGAGGTCTGCCTTAAACATATCACAAGTGCTTCATGCAAACCTCTGCTGGAACATCCAATCGAATCTTGACATTGACCATTTGAAGAAATCAAATTTAACATAGTTTCCCTATCAAACAAAAGTAAATGTAAGCCTTAATATTAAAACTAGAGGGGCTGGGGATGTGGCTCAAGCGGTAGCGCACTCGCCTGGCATGCTTGTGGCCCAGGTTCGACCCTCAGCACCACATACAAACAAAGATGTTGTGTCCGCCGAAAACTAAAAAATAAATATTAAAAAAAATTCTCTCTCTCTCTCTCTCTTTAAAAAAATAGAAAATATACATCAAATGTTGGTAACATGAACTGTGCTAAAGAACTTTTAAAGAGAAAAAAGAAACCAATTTTATATTTACTATTGTATAGGAAATTATTTTCCAATTATTAATCTTTTCACCTGGTGTGGTCACCATTGGTATGAATATTTCAATGACATAATATAAAAAATATTTAAAAGGCCTGGGATTTTAAACCAATCTTTTGACTCTGAACAGTATTAATCATGAACCCAGCCTAATTCCAGTATAAGATTGGGAGCCATCTTGTCAAAAAGCTATAAAAAGTTTATTTTTGTTTTCTGTAAGAAAACTAAAATTTCTCTTTGGCCTGACAATATTTTGATATATTAAACTTGTTTGGAATTTCTACATGTGCTTTGAATTCACCTATGTCACCAGATAACAACCCTCTCTAAAACCTTACTGGTGCCTCATAAATCCTGGCTCCCACTGACCAAATAACAACTCTCTAAATCTCAGTGGCAGCTCATAAATTCTAATGTCTGGAGTTGAATTTATTCCCTACCTTGAAATGTTCAGACATGTAGATCCTTAACCTGCTATCTGCCTTTGTTTTATGCTTGTCAAAATCTTGTTAACTATATAGTACCCAAGATACCCACCTTCTTTGTAACATTTTGTGCTGTAAAAACTTTTTCCTGAAGATCAGGGGGTGATCTCTAGCATGGAGTTTTGTAAGAGACAGTTCTGGCCAGCTTTTGTGTACACAATACAATCTTGATTTAATTTGATTTCAAATTGGAGTTGGTGGTCTTTTCTTTGTGTTCTTTTTCAACATTAACCTTTTTTTTATTTTTTAACTTCACTGTAAATAAAACCAAAGAACAAAACAAAACTCCTGTAAATAAGCCAGGTGCATAATAATAGCCATTCTTTACTGAAAGCACTGTATTCATTATAGAAATGATATAAGCTTAAAAATTAAAAGATAGCTCAAATATCAAGGGAGTTTAGAAGTTAGAATTTTTTTTCTTTCAGAATACAGGTGGTAAAATAGGTAGATGGAACATGTGCTGGGAGAAATCAAAAGTCTTTGCAGAGTAGGCAGCAGAGATTTGAGTCTTTCTCAGGTGTATATTTTGCACAGAAGAGAATGTGAAGCATAAATATATCAAGTAATGTGCAAAAAAATCACAAAAATATTTATTATAAAAAAATCATCTACAGAAATGGTTCAAAAGAAGCAGGTTTTTTTTTTTTTTTGGTCAGGAATAAACATTTGGACAGGAATGGAAGTTTTGGTACTATTTTTAAGTAGTTTTACTCATAGTGAATAATCTTTATACGATTTCTCCATTTTACTGGTTGGAATTAATTACAATTTATATATCTGCTAAAAAAGGTACTGAATGCAGAAAAATATTAATTGCTCATGTTTAAATCAACTACATTATTTGATCTTTCCCTTTTTAAACCAAAAATATGCATAAAACCATCTCTTAATAAATATCTCTATCTCTGTATATTAGCAGCAACTCAGTCATACAATATGCTATGATAACTTGTCTCTTCATGTACTTATAGACTATGAATTTGCTGCTTAGCATTTAGATATAATTTTCTATGGCGTTCTCTACTTATTTATGTCTCTCTGCCAAGTTTTATACCAAGCTCTTAGTATGTGCCTTAATTACTCTGTGTAGCAATGTAGGATCCATGTCTTATTTGTGACACTTTGTTCCCAGAACTGTGTCTAAAGGAAAATATGTACAAGATGATTATCCAGGCAAAAATATCTATCTAACATTATATTTTATTTTATACTTATTTATATATTTACGTATACATATTATTTTTATTATTTAAAAACACACTTTGGTCTGAAACCACAGTACTACTAGTGTATTTTAGCTTGAATTATTTGTGAGAAACAAACAAACTAAAAAGACATTTCTCTTTGTTGGCTGGTGATTTTTGCAACCTCAGGAGCCTAGTGAAGAATGGCAGAAATAGATATGTAACTCTCTAGTCTGAGGCAGACCCATCAAACTAGATGATGTTTTGCTTCTGCTTTCTATCTTGGTCATTATAAACATACTTTTATATTCACATGGAACATTTTTGTAATTCTGTTCTGTTAATTCTTCTAAAAAAATTAAATGAAAGTGAAAAAGAATGCAGGAAAGATAAATAATTAATTTCAAACAATCCATTTTTAAAATATTTTTTTTCAAATTACCAAAAATTTTGAAAATTTAGAAAAGTTAAAAGCTTTAGATATAGCCTAAGGCAATTTTCTCTTTTGCTCAGGACAGTAGACTATATCTCCAACTCATTTCTCTCTAGAATTGTACTGTGTGCAAATATGAAAAAAAAAAATGTGCTAAGATGCCCCACATGGCTTATAATTTTTAAAATCCTGACGGGGCTCAAATGTGCCATTTTTCTACTTTACAAATTACAAAATCTGAAATTCATATACTTAATAAATATTTACAAAACTGTAATTCAAAATGACCTAAAAAAATTGAAAAACTGACCTACTGAACATTAATCATAGGGACTTATAATATTGAAGCCATTATATTAAATGTCTTTTTATCATTGTCACAATTTTCCATGTTTTTGTCATCAATATATTAATTAAAATTTTTATCCACTTAATAACAAATATCTTAGTTTCTTTTTTAATTGTTTTTAAAGAAAAAATTAGTAGCAATTCATATTAATAAGTTAATGCTCATACTTGTTAAATTATGAAATATATACTTTAAAAGCTATGGCTATAGCAAGTGAAAAATCCAGCCTAAATTCCTCTTAAGATTGGGAGCCATCTCATCACACAGGCATGAAAAGTTTATTTCTGCTTCATTATAAATTACTGTGATTTCTAAACTTGCTTGAAATGCCTGCCAGTGCCTTGAATTCACCCATGTCTGGTTTTCCCTGATGAGATAACAACTCTCCCTGAAACTTTAGTGATGACTCATAAATTCTGGCTTTCCCTGACCAAATGACAACCCTCTCTGAAACCTTAGTGGTGCCTCATAAATTCTGATGTTGTGATTTAAACTTACTCCCTAAGTGATGAACAATTTTAAACCATTGCTTGTCAAAATCAGGGTTGTTTTACCTGATAACAACCCTCCCTGAAACTTTAGTGATGACTCATAAAGGGCTCTCTGGTCTCAGATTCAATATACATGATCTGAAGCCCCTTCTAAACAAGAGCATTTTGTGGGAACTGTCCAATCCTGTGTGTCATCAGGAGGGTAGGATTTCACTGTTATTTCTTATCTCCTAAGTCCTCCATTTTTGCCATTTGGCTGGCTTTCCCTGACTAATAACAACCCTCTCTGAAAGCTTAGTGTTGTCTCATAAAGTCTGATGTTGTGATCTAAACTTACTCCCTGAAAAAAAAAAAAAAAAATAAATAAATAAATAAATAAACTTACTCCCTAAGTGCTAACCCATTTAGACCATTAACTTACTACCTGCCTTTGTATAATGTTTGTCAAAATCCTGTAATCCATTTAAGTTCTCAAGACACCCTCCTTTTGCAACTTTTTGTGCTATAAAACTGCAGTCTGAAAGAGCTGGATTGCTGTCTTCTATTCCCATGGGTTTAAGGAGAGACTGTTATCCTCAAATTTGGGATCCCCAAAAGACCACCAGAGACCAAGATCGATGAAAGCAGCAAAGATGCATTTATTGTGAGCCAGCTCAGTCCTCCACGCACACATCAACTGGTGACACTGAGAGGCCCTGAGCACAGGGTTTGCAGTAGTTTTATACACTCTGGGGAAGCCAGTGACCCCACATACATTGTAGCATCTCTTAGCAAATCATCACACACCACTGGAAAAATCATAAAATGAGTCTAAAACATGATTAGCACATTCACTGGCGGGAACAAGTTGGGTAAGGGTGATTGGTTAGTACAAGAGGGGGATTCATTTGAACTGATTATTTAGGCCATGAGGGATGTACCTGCTGAACTATGTGGTGTTCTAACATGTTTTCAACCACCTTAAACTACTGGGAGGGTCATCTGGCATCCCAGGTATTTTCCCTATCTAATGCTGATTGGTGGTTGCTAGGGGATTGCTATGGGTCCCCACCTAGCCTGACTGAGTCAGGGAAACCTGGCTCAGCAGATCGCTCCTGTGATTTGTAGATAAACAACTCAGCAGGGTGGGTATATGCCTAGGAGTGCTCTGTGGGTCTTTCCAAGGACAAGGGTCATGCCCCCTTCCTTGGACAGGCTTTGCTGTGATATAGAGGCTGGTTTCTCACCTTGTATCTTATGTTTTTTATGTATTTTTTTAGCTGTAGCTGGAAACAATACTTTTATTTCAGTTATTTATTTTTATGTGGTGCTGAGGATCGAACCCAGGGTCTTGCACATGTGAGGTGAGTGCTCTACCCCTGAGCTAAAACCCCAGCATCTTATGTGTTGTTTTTATTGGGCATTTTTACTTTAGGGGGTTTCTTTTCAGTTCAAAGTTCAATCTGTTACCTAAAAAGAACAGAGCAGAATAGAATAGACAATATGATGTACATTCCATGTATGTATTGTATGTCAAAATGCATTCTACTGATATGTATGACTTAAAAAAATGATAGTGATTGTCATTATTTTATATTAATTCCTGAATAATATACAAGCATATATAATCCATAAACTGAAATAACTTTATATGTAAGTTTAAATTAAAAGGATCTGTTGGTTGAGCTAGGATCTCAGTTCTGGAAAAAAAAAAAAAAAAAAAAAACCTTGCCTTAAAATAACAGCAGCCTGAGGCTCTGGGGTATATTTCAAGGATTAAACAAAACAAAACAAAACAAACAAACAACAACAACAAAAAAAACCCAGCAGGGCTCAACAACCTGAGATTCTAACCCTTATTCGTACCTAGATTGGATAATATTCCCTGTCACTCAAAAAAAGGGCTCACTGGTCTCAGATTCAATGTGCATGATCTGAAGCCCCTTCCAATCAAGAGCATTTTGTGGGAACTGTCCAATCCTTTGTGTTATCAGGGAGGAAGAGGGTGGGCTTTCACTGTTACTTCTTATGTCCTAAATCCTCTTTTTTTTTTTTTTTTTTTTTTGCCATTTGGCTGGACTTTAATCTCATACTTCAGAGTCACAGGTTGCTCTGCTGTGCAGAAACTGAGGATCCCAAGCAGGCCAAGTCCGGAGAACCAGGAAATGGTGAGTGTGCATTGGCCTAGTGAGGGAGGCTGGGGGAGAAAGACTATTTATTGGAACCACAAGACTGGCTGTGGTGAAAACAGGAGCTAGCAGATTGGGACTCTGGGCAGTCTCTGCAGGCTTAAGTCCTCCACTGGGCCACTATGTTCGCAGTCCTACTGGCCAAGCAGGTGGTGAACATGTCAGTGGAAGAGACTCTTTGCTGCTTTCCTTATGCTTAAAGGGCATCCTCAGTGTCTGCCTAAAATACTATGTGGCTGGTGTGTTACTGCAGCCCAGTGTCTTACCAGATGCTGGAGATTGACAGGTGGAATAATGGTCAAAATGAATGACCATTATTGAATTATTATTGACCATTATTGAATGAAAGGAGCTGTTGTTTTGGGGCACCTAATTTCCTCTTGAGCCAGCTAATTTTTATTTTGACTTTCTTTTATTATTATTATTATTATTATTATTATTATTTAGGTAGTTAGTGTCATTAGGTAAATCGGGTCTAATATCAAGTAAAATCAAGAATGAACATTATATTGAGAATGAAGTCCAGGAAAAGGGGAATTGAAAATGTCCCCAAGGCACAGAGCCCATCCCAAGGAAATGTTAATTAAGCAGCTCCCAGCAAATAGGGTGATGCTAATCCAAAAGCCCTTCCTGCCCAGATTACTGCTTCAGCCCACCTGTCCCCCAGCCTTTGGGCCTTCCTACCTACATTCCATCACTGCAAGATAAGGTGTCTTGTAAAGGAAATTGGGGCCTAATCCTACATGATGAAGATTAGAGCCTGCATTTTATTCTATTAGATGCAGAGTCTCTGGTTTAAGTCCTATGTTCTTGATACACTTTGAGTTGAGTTTTGTGCATGCTGAGAGATAGGGTTTGTTGAAGAGGCTATATTGTCTCCAGTGCATGTTTTTGGCATCTTTGTCTAATATGTGATAATTGTAATTTTGTGGGTTAGTCTCTGTGTCCTCTATTCTGTACAATTTGTCTATCAGTCTGTTTTGTTGCCAATGCCATGCTGTTTTTGTTACCATTGCTCTGTAGTATAGTTTAAGGTCTGGTAAAGTGATGCCACCTGCTTCACTCTTCCTGCTAAGGATTGATTTAGCTATTCATGGTCTCTTAGTTTTCCAGATAAATTTCATGGTTGCTTTTCTATTTGTATGGGGAATGTCATTGGGATTTTGATCAGAATTGCAGTAAATCTGTATAGTGCTTTTAATAGCATGGTCATTTTGATAATATTAATTCTGCCTATTCATGAGCAAAGTAGATCTTTCCATCTTCTAAGGTCTTTTCTGATTTTTTTCTTTAGGGTTCTGTAGTTTTTCTTGTATAGATCTTTCACCTCTTTCATTAAGTTGATTCCCAAGTATCCTATTTTTTTTTTGAAGTTATTGTAAATGGAGTAGTTTTCTTCACCACCATATGTACCCTATCTTTTGTATGTAAATTTTTAAGCTTTGTACTTTTTATATATTTCACTATTATTTATTAATAACTTATATTCAGCATTTAATGTGTCAAAATATGTTGTTATGTTTTATGAGTAAAGGGACAAAATAGCATTTTATTATCACACTGTTTTCCTAATATCCTAGCATCTTTCTTTGGAATGAATGCCATTTTTCCTCTTTCCTGCACTGTAATCTTCATTATGTATCACTGCCTAAATAACAAGAGGCTTATTAAGAGTTTTGTTTTTGTTGTTGTTTTCTGTAGTTCCACCATTTATTTTATTATGAGGTTTACCCTGATTGATTTAACTTCATAGCATCAATCATGTGGCATCATGATATTTTCATCAGCAGTAGACTTTATGTACAACAGTGGATATAGCAAATATCTTAGCCATGAACTAGTCTATACCATCTAGATTCTTGTCATTATACTCAGAGAAATGAAAAATTGCAGAATATTCTTAGGATAAAATTTCCATCAGAGTGTATTTTCATCAAGTGAAAAATCATTATATATGCATATATTTGCAATTATATACTATATAATTGAAATAATTATTATTTGTTGAATTTACAAATTTGCTAGTGCTTTTTTAATTGTATCTGCTTTTTTTAAAAATTTGTACTGTAAATTGAACCCAGGGGTGCTTAACCATGAAGCCACATCCTCAGTCCTTTTTATATTTTATTTTATCAGTCTTGCTGAGTTGCTAAGTGCCTCACTAAGTTGCTCAATACAATATATATAAGACAATATTATATATAATATTGTCTTCAAATTTATGATCCTTTTTCCTCATCCTCCTCAGTCACTGGAACTACAGTTGTCCATCACTAGACCTTGCTCATTTGCTTTTTAAAAGCACCAACATTGATATTGATAACTCTCTCTGTGTTATGTTCATCTTTAATAGCTTCTAATTTTGCTCTTTTGCTTAAGATTTTCTTTACTTTTAGTTTATAAAATTTACTTTTCATTGGGATGGAGGATTTGATAATAAATTCTTAGTCATTTTATGGCTTACTAATTATTTTCTGTATGTTTTATTTTCAACCTCAGGTTTAGTTGAATTTTAATTTTTGCAGCTGTATAAAGGTCTAAGTGAAACATAATAACCTGTATGGATATTATTAAAAGAAATGGAAAGACAATTTAACCCAGGTTTTTTACTGTACTGTATATATGTGAAGGACATAAAATCAGAATCCTACATTGACTCAGCCACATTAATGTTTATAGCAGCACAATTCACAATAGCTAAGCTACAAAACCAAACATTCAATGAGGAATGGGTCCATTCAATGATGACAAGATAAAAAAAAATTGTTGTTTATGTACACAATAAACTATTAATCAGCCATAAAGAAGAATAACTTGACATTTGCCAGTAAATGGATGGATCTGGAGAAGTTATGCTAAGTAAAACAAACCATTTCTTTAAAACTAAATGTTGAAATTTTTTGCTGATATGTGAAATCTAAAGTTCATAAAGTGGGGAAGGGTAAGAAAACAAGAACAGTAGATTGCACAGTGGTAAAAAATAAATAAATAAATAAATAAAAGGGAAGGAGATAGAAATATTAAAGATATATATAAATCCTACCATCATAGTCACCAACAAGAACAGGATTCTAATTAGGATAAGATATATCCCATGCTTGCGTAATACCATAAAAATTGATTTTACTATCAGGTAGAACTAGAAAGAACCAATAAAATAAAATAAAAAAAAAAACAGATTATATTTTTTGAAAAGCTATATGTATATTCTATTATAAACATCATACAATATGCATCTATCAAATTATATATATATATATATTATTTTGTATGTTAAAAATTGTTAAAAGTATAAAATGAAAAATGCAAACAGGATTGTTTTTGTTATTTTTTATATTAATAACATACATAAATACCATAAAATGTTTGAACTTAAATTCACTATTAAATATTTCCATTAAGTGGTCTTTCTACCTTGTTACATTTCAAAATTTCTCTTATACCATTGGTATTGGGATTACTAGAGATCTCACTACATATTCAGAAAAGCCAGCTCTATCAGAGAAATAACAAATAAGATTCTACACTTATCTTTGATTAGTGGTTGTACAATTAAAATATGATCATTCCCTTTTTAAATTACAATAATTTTCTCATCTGAACAATATACATAATTTAGATCATGATATAAAAAAATTTCAAAATATATAGTTTTGTGGTAATGCCTGAGTTTTACATTGTGTTTCACAAATGTGGAATATATAAACTTTTTTGAACTTAAATCACTTTTTCTGCAGAAGTAGATAATAGTATCATTGTGTTCCAAAACACCACCTACATGATAGTCTACTAACTCTCATTTTAACTTCAATTACCTTACAGACTGTGCAAATGTTCATGTAGTCTATGTGTTATTTATTTATCTATTCTTTTTACAGTTACTGTTATCATTCAAGGATATAGCCATTGATTTTACTGAAGAGGAGTGGGAATGCCTTCAGCCTGCTCAGAAAAACTTGTATAAAGATGTGATGTTAGAGAACTATAGAAACTTTGCCTTCCTGGGTAAGTTTAATTTCCCTTTAAAATTTTTAATTAATAGTTATTATGCAATTTACTTCTGTTGTATCTTCTGGGAACTTCTCTGTAAGAATGAGTTTCAGATTTGTGTTTCAAAGAAAAAGGGCGTTTTTAGTACAGATAATTTACTCTTTAATATATATTATTTTACTCTTTAATCTCTCTCTTTCTTGGTATGTTATACATTCTCCACTTTAGATAAGTAGTTCCTAGCATACTTTAGTGATGTAAACTCTTGTAGCCTACAAAGAGCAGGGAACACAGTGAGAAGTTCAAATGGAGAAAACCAAACTAAAAAATGTGGTAGAGTAGTTATTTAGCAGAAAGAAACATTTCAGAAGCTTAGGTTTATTTCTTTTGATTTTAATCATTGAACACATACTGCCCTACATTTATCACATTTTCAAATTCTTTGTGATCCTCCATTTTCTTCTTTAGTGATGTCTAAGTTTATTCAGATTAACTACTAAAACTTACATTTTATTGTGAGAGCCAGCATGAAGTGTTATAAATCTTCTTGTGAGGAAACCTGTAAAGAAGCAAACAGAAGAGAGAGAGACTCAATCTCAGTGAAAAGAAAAAAAAAAAAAAAACTGGCCACTCATCTTCATGGCTGTACATAGTTTACCCCAAAATTACATAGTTTCTGTTGCAATGACTACATTCTAACCTAGTATTATTTTTACCCCAAGTGCTAGCTAACCAAGATAAGGTACAGTTAATAAAAACATAGAGTCTCTTCTCCCAAAGGACATTACCACAGAAACTAGATAGTGCACCTGTATAGTTGTCTTAATAGCTTCAGAGAGAAACTGCTGGGAATTACAATTGTGGGACTCAGGGTGCCAGTTTCCATCACCCCCACACTTTCTATTTCCAAGGTCAGAATACCTGAAGCCCGCCCCCCTCTTTTTTTAAGGCCTTTTGAATAAATAATATTACTTATCTCCTTAATGCTGATGGGGGCAAAAAATAGGGCAGCCATAGACAACAGCAAGTGCCAACATCAGTAAACATCCACATATGTATATTTTTTGACATAGATGAAATTGAGTAAACATGAAGTTAGCCAATCCAACAAGTCAATCATCAGTCATCTTGTTGTACCTTATTAATGATATCTTTAAGGTAATCTAACTCTTTTGAAATAAAATTACTATTATCACTTAAATTGAAGGAACATATGTTATTAAACTTCTGATATTCATTATGATATAACAATACCAGACAATCGTTTGCAATCATGAATTTTAAGTATGGCTTGACATGGAGGCTTGATTGATACTTTTTATGATAGCATAGGTGAGTTTCATAGTAGTTTTGTAAGCCCATAAATCTAGTCCAGGGAAACCCTTTAAGGAGAATGTCAAAGCATCAAATTCTGCCTTAGAGAGAAGGTTCACTGAATTATCACAGTTTTTATCAAGAGGAATAGACCTTTTATGAATAAATTGTGCAGGATTGTGACCTATTAAATATAATGTGGATGGTAAGGACACAGTTATTCTGCAACACAGCAATGAATATCATGAGACATTTTTTCAGGTATATAACAATTTCATCCAAGTGAGTCAAGATATTGTAATGGGTTGTAGAATTCCAGGATCTGAGAGTACTGAATTTCCCACAAGTGGTGTACAAAAACAGAGCAACATTGTTATTGAGACCAAAGCATTAACAGAGTTTTGTGTGAGTTTAGCAACCAAAGCAGTAACTAAGTTATCCATAGTACATTCTAACCTATTTGAGCCAACACCTTTTGAGCTGAGGTTAATAATGGTTTTATATACCCCAAGTATCTGGAATTATAGTATCTTGTGTTCCTCTTTTAATGTTTCTCCTCTTTTGAGGAGAATGATTATTCTCTTGTTTGGAGGGACTCGTCTCTTCCAGGGTTAAATGAATCTTACGAATCAGCTTGTCAAGTCCCTGATGTACATTTATAATTGCTATATTTCATGCATCAAGGTAGAGTCAAAAAGAACATGTTGGCATAAGTTTAACAGTCTATGCTTTTCCCCATGTGATCAAAGGCATAGTATCTTGCCATGTTTATAAGGTGAAATCTTATATATATATTTTATAATGGCTGTTTTAGAATAAAATGTCTATTCAATGCAGATGACAAATTTTGAGTATTAACTTTATGTTGTATATTGAGGACATTAAGTGTAAATAAAACATTATTTAATGTATATTAATATGAGAGAGGCTAGATCTTTGTTTCCATTTAAAAAGGCAAGGATCAGGATATAATTTACTCACTCAACAAAAGCTTATCAAATGATTATGAGAAATTTCATAATTTAAAACTATATCTCATTGATTAAAAATTGTGCAAAAGGATGAGATGTAAAGGCAGAGGCATTATCCATCTTTAAACAAATAGGCCCTCTAGGAGCAGATCATGCTTGGTTTCTTTTCATGCTCTCTGCTGGTACAATTCAGTTAGATTCAATTCAGTTAGTAATTTTTTTTTTCTTTTTTATTGTGTTCTGTAATAATGCATTAATAATCATAAATATTTTGAAGTGAATAACTCATTATACTTCTGCTTTGTAAGCTATTTTCTACATTTCTTATTTTTTCTATTTTGATTAATGATATAATTTCTAGATCATTGCTTTTCATTGTGGCATGCTTGGATTTTTACAAATATATACATATTTGTAATTATATATACATATATATCCCTAAGTGTAATGTGTGTGTGTGTGTGTATGTGTGTGTGTGTATATCTATATCCCACTTATCTTTATATATCCTATAGGTTTTTAATTTTTACAGTATTTCACAAGTTGCTTAGACTTGTCTGAAACTTGGTCCTGCTTGATAAGCCTCTCCCATATTGGTAGAATTTCAGCTTTGCACACTAGAAATGCCCCTCTCATTTTTTCTTAAGGAATTATTCACATACACAATTTGTGCTTATTTATATTTATATTTTTGTCTCAATTTTATTCTTTAAACATTCTTTAAACAGTTATTTAGTGTCCTTTGAGTAATTCATAACTGTTAGTATCCTGATGTTCAATTCTTAATGTTTTTTTTCTTTTTTTTTTTTTTTTTTTTGGTCATTTGGATTAAGCCATGCTTCTCTTTGTTTATGTTTGTTGTACTATTTTTTATTTGTTCATTAAAGGAGCCAACAGTAGATTATGTAGTCCATTTTGGGAAAAAAGTATAAAATCTTTTAAATAAATAAAAATAGGCAAGAACAGTGCTGCATCCTTGTAATATTTGTTAGTTGGGAAGCCATGCAAAAGTACTTCATGTTTAGGGAAGTCACAGATATTTAGAAACAGCATGACTCAAACAATTCTAAAAAGACTTGTGTTGTTATTCATTGATGTAGAATTTTTAGGGCTAATCTCAAGCACCATAGATGAAGAATTAAAAGTTGGATGACCTAAAGATTCAGAAATGCCAGTACTAAATATGATTCCATGAACAATTAAATCAGAAAATTGAAGAGATACCTCTGCTTTTGTTTTTAGTGCAACATAGTTCTCAGTTTTAAAGCTAGAGACTCAATGTATGTGCCTATCAATGATCAAATGTGTAGAAATATTGTACTTATATACTATTATTGTTTAGTTATAAAATATTTTGTCTCTTAAAGTGTTATAAGAAATATATACTGGACTTTGCATTAAGTGAAATGTGGCAGGCAGAGATTAAGTTACAGGAGCATTTGATTCACATGTGACAGATATTTAGTGAGTAAAATTCTGCTTACCAGGTACTGTGTTTTGTGTAGGGTTTATATTATAGTCAAAGTCTCCATATTTTTGTTTTATTGAGCATAAGAGGGTCAAGATTTTTGTTTTACCACATGGTGAGTGTATAATATTCTTCATAAATACTAGTAGAAGGAATACAATACTTGTTAGAAAAAACTGGTAATTATATAAAATAATGATTGTGTTAATTCATTCTATTTACTCATTTTACCTTGTATATACGGTATAAAATACCATAATTAGTAAATAAACAAAGTTGTATTTGTCAATGAAAGAAATCATCATATCACACCAATTTAAAAATATAAGAATCAATTTATTACACTTGATTGTCATGTGTTGACTTCATCCAAGTATTAGGGCCATAGGCTATGAAAGGTTTTTATACTCTTTTAAAATATTTTTATGGAAAATGTTATAGACATATATGTGTATATTTCTTAGTAAAATTTTTGTTCATATTTCTTTTTAAGAATCCATAGCCTCTTTACCCTTGTTGAATATTTGTGGTATTATCACTCAAAATATTCTAGATATTTTCATCTCTCTTTGTCATGGTAGATAAAAAACAGTTTTTGGATGCCCTTTGAAAAAGCCACAAATATTTGTAGATGTTTTACATTTCTTTTATTTTACTGAGAGTGAAGGTAGCTGATAGATATTTCCTAAATACACAATGATATCTTATGGAGGACAAAAGTCTGTGGATGATAAAAGTGTCACACTTTCCTTCTCTTTATTATATTACTCTTCTTAATGATTTACTCCTTGGATACTTTGGTCCCTACAAGAATTTGAGTAATATTCTCCAGGTAATTTTGTCTGTACATTTTAATTCAACTGATATATTTTTGGAATTATGATGACTTTGGATTTACTAATCTGCTACACTCCTAATGTACTTATTTTACCTTAATTTCATGTTATGTATGCAAAATATATTTATCCCAGTCTAGAAGGCATTTTTTTTATTTTTGTTTATTTCAGCCATGACTCCATATGATACCCAAGAATATTCACCAGAAAAGGACATAAAACATAAATTTCACAAAGTGATAAATGGGAAATATAGAAGTTTTGATCTTGACTATTTACAACAAAAGAAAATATGGAAAACCACAAGTGAGAGTGAACACCAGGAATCATATAAAAAATCAGGCCTTGTTCACCACCAGAGAATATATACTGGAGAGAAGCCCTACAAATATAAACAATGTGGCAAAGCTTTTAGTAAAATAAATG